AAAAGATACATCGCATCGAGGTGCCCGTGTCGTATTATCATGCGTTCTACTTTAGAATGATTCGAAAACTGGCGTGAAGTCTTTTGAGGGCCATCGATGAATTTCGCTAAAAATGACAATGTAATGGTTTGAAACATTTACATTTTTAAGAATACTGTTGCTCATCATGCAAAAATGAAGAGTGAATATTGGACAGAATTGAATGCTCTTTCCAACGGTGCCATTTTTAATTGCCAGATATATCAGGTCAAGGAGCAAAACCCGTGTGATTAATAAAGTGGCACAAAATTGACAAACACCATTTTCTCCCGTGATTTGTACCACCTTGATTTGGATCAATCAGCTTTTCACAATTTTTCCATGAGAGGCGATACATTTCTCTTGCCTATAGGCGTTGGCTCAACTCGCTCCGTCTGACGGTCACCTAAAAATAAATGTAATCCCAAAATCCGTCAAAAACCGCAATTTTTCCAATAAAAGTGCCCTCCCCGGTGCACGTGGCGCGTGCTATCCTCTGCAACGCACACCATTCGATAGCCCGTTCGATTCTCTACACGATGCTGTTTTCCCCGTGCCGATCAGACCCCTGGTCGCCAAGATATGGCACCGGGATCGGACCCGTGTCGGGCAAATTTAGCCGTTTTCGCCCGATTTCGCACGCCGATTTATACATGTAAAGTCTATGACGCGAATTTGCACTTTTTGAGCACGCGCCACGCACTCCCTATCAATCCGATCGAGCTGAGACCCCTCAAAGGCACGTCGCGCATCCTTGGTCTATAAGTTGTGCAAATTTCACCGCGTTAGGTGCAACGGTCTGGCCTGTAGTCCACGCAAAGCACCACCAAGTCGGGACCTCGGTAACGGACAGACGCACCCTCCTCAAATAGTAATATAGATTTTGTCCGAGCTATGTGCCTATACCCATCAGTGTTCATAATTTGGTTTAGGTGTAAATTTTCTGGCTATTTTAGGTGGTTATTGAAGTTAACACCATTGGTTAACATTAATCAATAGATATAACTAATCTAGCCACAGCGGAAAGGTAAGGTACTATTGGAAATTTCGACCCAGGTGCCCCAGCCACAATTTTGTGTGGCACATTCCCCTGTTGTGCTTCACCTTCTGCCACCCCTGTACCTTGGAACCGAATACTTAAATGATTGCCTTTATATGCAAGTTCCATTCAGCTATACACTGGCGGAACCAGGGGAGTTAACCTGTTTCCTGAATTAAATTGACTCTCACCAGTCATTTTGAGAATGTGGCAAGTTGCAACTCCCATGCTTCAATGTTGCAAAAATTATCATTTGGGACCCTACCAATAAATTTCAGAAAATGATGCCCATTTCAACTTTCACTGAACAGGAAAGAACGTAAAGAAATTTTAAATAAAAAATATTTTTAGGTGAACAAAAATGGGCAGTTTTTGCCCAATAAAGGTTATCCTATGACTGCAAGGCCACCTGAAATGCGTTAGACAGATCTTACTAGAGTTGTCCTTAGACATAGTTGTCGGGTTTGTCTTACTGGGCCACCTTATTCATGTGCAATTAAATAATTAGGGGGCTGTATCAAAGTATAATCTACAGCAACCTAGTAACCTCAGTAATAACCTATAGAATTCCTATATTTTAACCTATATTTTGCTAAGATACAGTTGGTGGTCATAATGCTGTCCCTCATTCACACAACATTCATTGCATCATCACGGTTATCACTAGCACCGAATAAAGATAAATCGATTGACAAAATTCAAGGCATACAACACAGAAGCATAATTACATCAAATTTATATCTGGCAACACCTTACTCACCATCAGAGACCCGCACGACGCGGACACAGCACAAGCCGCACAAGCCAAAGGACGCGCGCCGAAAAAAACATGGCGGACGTGACGCAGTTGCACCGCAGTTGTCAAATAACTTCAAGTGTGTTTTAGCACAAAGGTACATGTTGTACAAAAGGTCGTATGTTAGTGTCCCCTGCTATGTATAGTTTGTTCGAAAACACGTTTTGCGTAAGTGTGGCATATAGTGTATAAAACACGCATAGTGCTTGCTGACACACCACTAGTTGACACACCTTGGCTTAGTTTTGTAACTTATATGTTTGTTTACCACAAATAAATGTGCTTACATACAAACCGTTTACTAACCTCATTGCTATCTTCAGCTTTTGTGTGTCTTAATACTATCTTTTTGTTGAGCAATTAACACGGTAGTTTGTAAACTTTTTTTACAGTGTGGGGGCGCGCTTCCAACGCTCGATGTAGAATCGATATGAAATCAGCGGTAAATCGATATGAAATTGTTGTACAATCGATACGAAATCAGCGGTAAATCGATACCACCGCGGCGTAGCGGGAGGACCACAGCAGCAGCTGTGTGTCATTGATCGGCGCTCTTTGATTTGTCATTGATCGGCGTCCTCTAATTTGGCGCCTGTGGCGTGGAGCGACCCAAGGGGCTCAGTAAAGAGCGACAGGAGACAGAAGATGTCCTCGGCCGCACTGAATCAGCCGATGCATCATCCGCTTTGACGTTCAGTCAACGTTCAGCGCGTATTTACCGATAGTAGGTAAACAACACCTATGAGCGCGCGAAGAATTAAATAAATATTGTTCCGAATACTGGAGCTTCATCCAACTTAGCCATATATCTGATGCACATCAACAGTCGTGCATGACGGCATGGACTGACTTCATTCTCTTTGATTCATACATTTTAAATCACTTCTGCTTTAGATATAAAGTAATTGCTTTTTAAAAGTATTATATAGAAACAAGGAAACATAAATTAACTGAGTTCCACTTTTCGGCACGAAGTCCTGCACAAGTCTTTTCTTCCAAAGCACTACTCCATGCTGACCACAAACGTTGCAAAGCCATCACCAGGCGGCGCTGGCCATTTCTGCCGTCACTTATGCTAGTTCCGTGTGGCGGCCTTTCGAAGAACGCGACCTACGAAAGGAAGCCCGTAAAACCCTAAGGTCCGCTGGATGGCTTCCGCACTGCACGGAACACAGTCATCAGTGCCAACTGTCGTTGAGAGCCCATGTCAAACATTTGGTTTGTCAAAGCGTAACCATAATGGAGCGCAGGGTGCCTCCGGTTTGGCCAAACAGCCTGACCGCTCAGTGAGTCAGTGGGGACCTGTCGCCGATCCAGCAACAGATGACTCTCGGATACGTGCCGTCTGGTCTTCGGTATCGCGCTGATTAGTTGTCAAAACTGCTGTTTTATTGGGGAGGAGGCTGGCTGGGTGGTGTTGGGTAGAGATAAACGTATTCACAAGGGCACTTACACTGTGACTGGACAGCACGTTATCTGCCTAAAGCACTAATAGTTCCCCTTATTCAGCGCACTATCTGCTAAGCGCTAACAGTTCGCCACATATTATTACTACGTGCTGAATGCAACGCACCAGAGTCCGAACTGAGTTGAACTGGAATCATTGGACTACATCAGAGTCTGGACTGATCTGAACTGGAGCCATTGAGCCGCATCAGAGTCCGGACTGATATGAAATGGAACTATTGAACCACCTCAGAGTCAGAATACTGAGCTGGCGCATTGGAAGCGCGCAGTTCGGCGCGCATTTACGTCACGCGTTTCGATGACCAATGGTCCGGTACTGCGATCCATAGACTTCCGTCGGTTACGGGTAGGGTCATTAAGTTCGGTGAAATCCATGAGGTCGAGAGTGCCCCAGAGCAGCGACTCGACATGCATCAGTTTCATGTGTGGTACTGATATCCGCTCATCCAAGCTCAGATCTATGGTAGTGATAATGGAGATGACTCGTCAGAGACAGCGGAGGCCTTCGCTACGCATAAATTGCATTTTTATGTAGTCACGTATATAAAATTTGAAACAAAATCCATCACAAAAAAACGACAGCCGAACCTAACATCATTAAACAACAACAGTGTTAAAAAACGGTTTTAAAACAATGTTAACACACCTACCTATCATTGACCTCTGTGCGCCAAAGCAACGCTGGAATATCTGTTGCAATTACCCAATAAAATAATCACGCTTTCAATTATATAAAAGAGGTTTCCAAAAGTTAACAACTACACATCAGTATTTCCATTCAAAACCTCCTTTAAATGTGGTCTCTGAATAAAATCATCAGCGCTGACAGAAAGACTACCTGACCTGACCTGACCTGACCTCGCTGGAGGGGCTGTGAGATCGCGGTGGGCAGCCGCGTGCTGAAGTTTTGGGCTCATTCTAAGCAGGGCGAGTGAGCGGGTTTGGCAGCTTTGAACTCCTTCATTCACGTGTTAAATTCTTAATTCTGAATAGCACCTGCCAAATCCATTGAAATCCATTTTCCCTGCTCCTTTGTTCTCGTCACAAACACATCTCTTTTGCAGAAATAATCTCCCCTTTATCCGTAAAGTGAGCTTAATCACTACAGACAAGCCACACCATATTGCAGGCAAGCCAGCACGAAACCTCTTTTCTGCAGCTACTTACTCATTTACAATTGCCTGACCACAGAATTCATAAACAAGTCTGTGTGTAATCGCTGTCTTCCGACAAAGCATGTAATGATTAACGCTGGGCAAATTCGTTAAATGGCTCTGTCTTAGCATGCAAACGTCGCCTTATTAATGTCTGCCGCCACACAGAACGGGCCCTTGTAATTTACCATTCGTGACGATAGTTTCCCACATGTTTCCATCGTAGCAATCGCTTCATCACAAAGTTATTTACGGCAGGAAACTACTAGCTTGTCACAAATACCTACGAGTACCTATATTGGAATGGACCGGTGGGTAATCAATGATCATTGATCAATGACCATTGATCAATGATCAACCTAGCTCGTACTCATCTGACAACTGAAATCTACATCTACTCACTGCCGGCAATGTTGGGGGCGCGGGTTAGTCTGTCAGGTACCTATATGGAGGGGGGTGGGGGGTAAGGAGACAGGGTATGGGATGTGGGGTGGGGGTAGCGGGGGAGGGGTCAGAGGTCACTCACCGTGTGCCGGGCGGCGGCCGCCGCTGCCGCTGGGTTCATACCGGGGAACATTCTCTGCACACACGCATCCCACGCGCACGCCGCCTCACTCTATCGCCGCACACTCGCTGAACCGACCACCAGCGCCGCGATACACACTCGCACGTGCCGGCCGCCTGAGCGCGTCTGACGCCCCGCCGCCGCCGCCCGCCAGCCGCCGCCGTCGGCGCTCAACAGCTAACCGATTTGCCCAACACGTTTACTTGCCCACTGCAATCAATAACATTTGATGCGCCCATTTACGGTCTACAGCGCCACCTATTGATTTCAAGCCGCACTACCGCATCACTGGGGGCGCCACCGCCGCCGGGCACCGAGGCCCTCTGTTGGCGTTTCCGCACCCGGCGGCGTCCCGCTCGCCGGGCAGCGCCGCTCGAGTTTCGTCCATTACTGGATGATACCCAGGAAACATGCATAACGTAAAAAGAGGAGGCTGCCGCCTGCGGCTGCGGCGAGCCCATCCTGTTACCGGCCAGATCATTACCGACCAGTCAATGGTCATACAACCACGTGGGGTGGCAACGGCCGGGCGCCAACCGCACCACGGCGACTCACCCACGTGGGGTCTGACGGCGACCAATCATACGCCCGCTCTCAAACCACCAACCAATCAGCGCGCCGCTCTGCGGCCGAGAACCCCACGTGGGGCTGCGCGGGCGGCCGGGTGTTACGGCGGTACCGCTCCGCCCTCGGGGCAGTTATCGGCCGCCATCCCAGGCGCTGTCGCCGCCGGTCGCCGGCAAATAGGTCGCCGGGGGCGGGACGCGCGTGCTCGGGGGCGAGCGGTGCCGGCCGGGGGATGAAGGCGGTCGGCAGAGGCCTTTGATCCGGGCGGGATGGGCTAGTATCTCGCCGCTCTGGGGAGGATCATTACCGTGAGCAGAGCGCGGCGCTCATAGGCGACGTGTCACACTACAGTGTTTAATTACGCAAAGATATGTCTGCAGAGACTGCAGGAATAGCACTCAACGCGCCAATGTCTCGGAGAGAATTTAAGTGACAGAGTCTTGTGGTCAATTATGGGAAATTAAGAATTTCCGAGGATCTCTTAGTGGACACAGCGCGTAGGCCGTAGAGCATATGGAGATAATTGAGATATCGTCTGGTTACCACCTCGACAGCTGTCCGAAAAAAAAAACATAACCCGCGTTAGCCCGGAGCCCCCTCTCACACATAGCCCCCTCTTCTTTTTGTTTTTTTCTCTCTCTCTCTCTCTCTCTCTCTCTCTCTCTCTCTCTCTCTCTCTCTCTCTCTCTCTCTCTCTCTCTCTCTCTCTCTCTCTCTCTCTCTCTCTCTCCCTTCTCACCTCACTCTTTCACCCAATATTTCACCCTCTCACCCTCTCTCTCTCTAGAATCTCCCTTTCCTCTCTCACACCCTCTCCCTCTATCTCCTCTCTTCCTCGATATCCGCTGCCAGTCTGAGACCATTCCAAACGCCATCGAGGCACCCGAGCTCGTTCAAAAGGCGCCGGCGAATCGTGAACGCGTCTCTTAGCGAGCGACGCCCGCGGAAACTGCGATCATTGGGGCACAAAGGCCCTGAGGTCAAAAGGAGGATTATCTGACGGCCCGGCGCACGGCGGTAGACACTGGACAGAGCCCTGCGCCATGAATGCTGCCCCCGCGCCGCGTCTGTCTACAGCCGGGTGGTCCAGCGGCCAGTGGTCCCCGGCGGCCCGTGGGTGGTCCGCTGAGGTCCCGGGTGGTCTCCGATGGATGGTCCCAGAGGTGTTGATCAGGGTGTGATTACAGGTGTCGTGTGTATGAGGACAAGACCGTGTTTTCGTGACGGCACTGGTGTAAAGAGGCTGCAGAAACATAGAAAAGGTGTAACATCGCCCAGCGAGAGCAAGACACGCGGAAAAGTGGAGCACTACACCCGGTGAACATCTGCCTTTTTGATCGGACAAGATAACTGCACTGGTAGAGTCAAAGTGGTCGCGATAAAAACTTAGCCTTTGATCTGGTCGTTATCTGATAGATGCGGATTCATTGGCACGACGACAATGTCTTTTTCGTGGTTAGCGTTTCCTTTTGATGATTCACGACGAGGGTCGGTACCGTTGTTGGTGACATCAGAGGTCCATAAGGACAACATTGTCAATCGGTGTTTTGTTTTTTAGGATGGCACGATTATGTCGTGGGTGATGATCAACTAAAATGCCTCCAATTTTATGATAGCTTTCCGACATGTTTTCACAATTGCAACAGGACAATTACGGCGTCATTCGTTGGGTTCATTTCATTATAGAGGGCGACGTGTCTTTCCTCAGATCTTCCTCAGACAGGGGGGGGGGGGCAGATTCTGCCCCTCCCCTGTCTAACTTCCGAACCGATGGTTGTAGAAAGACGGGGAAAACGGCAATCGAAAGCTCTCAACAAGGCGGATCTTAAGAGCCCAATTTTTTTTTTTGTTTAAGTAGGTCAGAGGTCAGGTCAACGTCAGGTCAAGGGTACAAAATGCAAGTTTCTACAGTATCGGCCTTGCACCGTAGTTGCCGAAGAATGGACTGAAACTGATTGCCCAAAACGTGTTCTTAGACTACCAAGACAATATTCGTTGCATACAATGTCACTCAAAGGTCAAGGTCAAGGTCAGGTCAGGTCAGGTCAGGTCACCAAAAACAAAATATAGAAAAGGGCATGTGCGACACATGTTTTATGGGTCATTTTACTCATAGAATTCAATAGGCACACTCAATAAGTGATATGGACCACCTCTGGATGAATTTCAGGTCGAGGTCAGGTCAAGGTCAGGTCAAGTGAGTGTGATGGTTTGAGTGTCACTGGGCCGGCTTGATTGTAGGCCCCTGACTGCGGTCTATGACCCGGGGCGCTGGGTCAGCTGAGTGGCGGTGTGAGCGTGCCGACCGCCGGGCCGGAGCGGCGGCCGGCAGTCTGGAGTTGGACCGGTGCCAATAAAGGTCCGTGCTGAGCCTGGATGTTACAATTGGCGACGAGGTGAATATCGTGCTATGGAAGATGGCTGAAGGCTTCAGTTTAGCCCCATTTAATTTACGCGAAGATGTGTGGGAAGAGTGGTTCGAGAGATTTGAGTTTTACTTGGATGCAAGAAATGTGACTGACAATGGCAAGAAGAAGTCCTACCTGCTTTCACAATGCGGTAAGGATACCTATTCTGTGTTACGGAGTTTGGTGTCGCCAGGCAAAGTCGGTGACAAATCGTACACAGAAATTGTGACTTTGCTCAATGGTCACTTGAAACCTCGAACGTCTGTGACTGTGGCTCGATTCAAATTTAACACGTGCTGTAGAAAGGAGGGCCAGTCAGTAGCAGAGTATGTTGCTGAGCTGAGGAAGCTGACTGAGCACTGTTCTTTTGGAGAGACCCTGAATGAGATGTTGAGAGATCGTTTGGTATGTGGAGTGAATGATGCTCAGATGCAAAGGAAGTTGTTGTCGGAAGAGACACTGACGTTTTCTCAGGCTAACCGGATTTGTCTGTCACTAGAAGCGGCTTCCAGGGACGCCAGGATCATCGGAGGACAGGAGAGCACCGTCAACGAGATCTCTGTGCCGGGTCGGGACGTGACGCCGGGTGGGATCAATGAAGTGCACGCCGGCCAACGCAGTCGCGGTAAGCCATGCCACCGCTGTGGCCGTTCTCATCCGGCCCAAACATGTCGCTACGCCAGCTTCAAATGTTTCAATTGTGGAAAAATTGGACATTTAGCACGCCGTTGTGTAGTCCCCAGAGGGAGCGGAGAACAGTCTCAAACCCGACGAGGGGTTTGGGTCCCAGACAACCAGGCTGGTGGAAAGGGACCCTCCCAGACAACCAGGCTGGTGGAAAGGGACCCGCCCATTTCTGACACGAGTCTGATTCTGATTCAGATAGGATTCATACGGTAGTCAACGCCGTTCAAAATGCGTCTCAGCCGGTCATTGTTGATGTTGATGTCGAGGGCACAGTCATACAAATGGAGGTTGACACGGGCTCGGCTGTCTTGCTTTTGAATGTGAAGACGTTTCAGGAGATACATCCGACTCCTGAGTTGAAGAAGCCAAAGTCTGTCCTCAGAACCTACACTGGAGCCAAGATTCCGGTCGTGGGTGAATTCATCGCGGACGTGAAGTACAACAACCAGGCGAGATGGCTTCCACTGGTGGTGGTTGGAGGAGATGGACCAAACCTCCTCGGGCGCGACTGGCTTGGGAACCTGAAGCTGGACTGGTTCAACATCTTCTCGGTGAGTGGAAGTGATGCTGTCACGGCTCTGAAAGAGAAATACGCTGAAGTGTTCAGACCAGGCCTGGGTGAGCTCAAGGGGGTGAAAGTTAAACTAGACATTGACAGTAGTGTGGCTCCCAAGTTTTATAAACCGAGGCCGCTACCTTTTGCATTGAAGAAAAGGGTCGATGAGCAGCTCAAGCGAGAGATTGACATGGGTGTGCTTGAACCAGTTGGACATGCAGCTTGGGGTGCTCCGATTGTACCGGTGTTAAAGTCAGACGGCAGTGTCAGAATCTGTGGGAATTTCAAGCTGACAGCAAATCGTGCCATTCGTGTTGACAAATACCCACTTCCAAGGATAGAAGATCTCTTTGCCTCACTGGCGGGAGGCAAAGTCTTCACCAAACTCGATCTGAGCCAGGCCTACCAGCAGTGCGTGGTGGATGAAGACTGCAGAGATGTCCTGACGATTAACACTCACCTTGGACCTCTCAGGTATCGACGCCTGGGCTTCGGTGTCAACTCGGCGGTGGCGTTGTTTCAGCGAGAGATGGAGAAGTTGTTGAATGGTATGCCTGGTGTCTGTGTTTTCCTAGATGATGTGCTCATTACTGGGAAATCCCAGAACGACTGCTTACAGCGCACATCTGCGGTGTTGGAGAAGCTGCAAGATGCCGGACTCCGTGTGTCGGAGAAGAAGTGCAAATTCTGCGTGGATAGCGTGGAGTACCTGGGGCACAGGATCGACGCTGAGGGCTGTCACCCCACAGAGGCGAAGGTGAGAGCCATCCACTCTGCGCCAAGTCCCAAAAACGTGTCCGAGCTGAAAAGTTTCTTGGGCATTCTGAATTACTATGCTCGTTTTCTACCAAACCGATCTGAGGTACTGTCACCATTGCATGAGCTTTTGAAAAAGGATGCTTTGTGGGCCTGGGGACCAAAGCAGCAGAGTGCTTTCAATGAGGCAAAAACGTTGATAACGTCGGAACGAGTGCTGGCGCATTTTGATCCAACCGTTCCTCTTGTGCTCACTTGTGACGCATCCTCTGTTGGCATTGGCTCAGTGCTCTCACACAGATACAGGGATGGGTCCGAGAAGCCAGTGGGGTTTGTTTCACGATCGCTATCCAAAGCTGAGCAGAAAATGAGCCAAATTGAGAGGGAGGCGTTGGCCTTGGTGTTTGGCGTCACGAAGTTTCACCAGTATTTGTTTGGAAATGACAAATTCATTTTGGTGACTGACCACAAGCTACTGGTCAAACTGTTCGGTGAGCATGAAGGGATTCCGGCGACAGCATCCGCAAGGATTTCGAGATGGGCGCTACGGTTATCCGCGTACAATTACACGATTCAGTACAGATCAACGACGCAGATAGGACATGCCGATGGTCTCAGCAGATTACCCCTTCCCGTCTCGAAGGAGCGTGACCATGAGGTGTCTGAGATGGTGTGTTTGTTGCAGAGCTTGGAGGAGGAGTTTGCATTGGACTCCTCCCGGATTGCTGCGCTGACGTCTCGGGACACTCTGCTGAGTCGGGTGCGGCAGGCCATAGAGACTGGTGAGTGGCCTGACGAGGAGGACATCCGCTCATTCTTCCACAGGAGAGATGAGCTGTCGGTGATCCGCGGAGTGCTGCTGTGGGGCAGCCGCGTGGTCGTGCCTGCCAAGGCACAGAAGCACGTTTTACACGAGCTACATGAAGGACACCCTGGGGTGAGTCGGATGAAAGCTGTGGCGAGAACATGTGTGTGGTGGACTCATATAGATGGAGAAATCGAGCGATTCGTGCGCTCTTGCGATGGGTGCCAACAAACCAGGCCCCATCCTGTAAGAAACGAGCTACATCAGTGGAATTGGCCGAGAAAAATTTGGTCGCGAATTCATGTCGATTACGGCGGGCCTGTGAATGGGAAGTATGTACTGGTGGTCGTTGATGCAACATCGAAATGGGTGGAGGTTGTGTTGACGACTTCTACGTCCAGCGCTGTTACCGTGGATGCTCTTCGTTTGCTGTGCTGCAGGTTCGGCCTCCCGGACACCATCGTCTCGGACAACGGTCCGGCCTTCATCGGGGAGGAGTTCCAGCGGTTCACGAGGAGGAACGGCATCCGTCATGTGAGGACGGCTCCTCACAGGCCGGCAAGTAACGGGTTGGCGGAAAGGTACGTCAAGGAAGTAAAGTATGCGCTTCAAAGATCCACTTCCGGAACCATGTCCGTCAAACTTGCTAAATGGCTGATCAGCTGCCATTCAACACCCAATGCAACAACGGGGGTAACGCCTGCGTCTATGATGTTCGGTCGAGAATTAAAGACGAGACTGCAACTTCTCAAACCGGACTTGGAACGGACTGTAGAGCAGCAGAAGGATAGACAGAAAGAGTACTATGATATGCGTACTAAAGGCCGTCAATTTCAGGTGTCCGACAGAGTCTACGCCAGAGGCTTCGGGAGCGGACCGGTTTGGTCGCCCGGAGTGGTCGGCTCTCTCCTCGGTGCAACGATGGCGGAGGTCCGGCTGGACGATGGTCGACTGTGGCGCCGTCACTTCGATCAGCTGCGGTCTGCGGGCGACTCTGCTCCGAAGAATCGCACGGAGACGGACGTCTGCGACTTCGGACGGCTGCGGGGGAGGCGGGACCTGTCGGGTGGCGAGCCGGACGAGAGTTGGCTGGAGGACGATCAGCGGGAGGATCCCGTGGTGATCTCGGACCGGAGACCGGCGGCTGACGCCGGCCAGCCTGAGCAGAGCTCGGAGAGTCCCGGAGTACAGTCGTCTCCGGCTGCTCGTCTCCCCTCTGGTGCGTGCGTATGTGCGGGTGATCAGACTTCGAGTGCGCGCGCGTGTACAGGTGATCAGAGTCAGACTTTGAGTGAAGGGACTGCCACGGGCGTGACTCAGGATTCTTTGGTGTCCCGAGGGCTGTCGGGCTCACTAGAGAGAGCGGAAGGTGTTCCGTCGGTCACACTGCGTCGATCACAGCGTGAACGACGCAAGCCGGACTACTACAGACCCGGTGCTGGGTAGATATGTGTTAATGAACACTTGAGACTTCTGTGTAGCTGTTGTGTTCTTTTCGTTACTGAGCCAGGAATGGTGTTTGTGGTTTGTTTGTTGTTTTTTTTTTTTTGGAGGGAGGTAATGTGATGGTTTGAGTGTCACTGGGCCGGCTTGATTGTAGGCCCCTGACTGCGGTCTATGACCCGGGGCGCTGGGTCAGCTGAGTGGCGGTGTGAGCGTGCCGACCGCCGGGCCGGAGCGGCGGCCGGCAGTCTGGAGTTGGACCGGTGCCAATAAAGGTCCGTGCTGAGCCTGGATGTTACAGTGAGGTCAAATTTTGAAGTTGGTTGTTAAGGCCTAAAAAGGTGTCTATCTGATGCAGTTTTTCACGGCGAATCGAATGGTGCTATTTTTGTTTCCGTACGAGGTCTAGAACTTCCAAAAAATCATTTTTCAAAATTTTTGTGTGTCGTGACTGTGTCTCTCTGTTTGTTCACATAGTTTGTATTCTAGCCTTGTCGCGTAGGGTCGGCGTCGGGTCATAAGTGGTCATAAATGGAGGTCCATGTGCCACACATGTGCGCGGCAGCAGGGACACGCCGGTCCGTATATCAGGCTGGACATTTGGAGACGGGCGGGCAGTGGAGAGCAGGGCGGGAGAGAGAGAGGACGGGTCGGTGTGCGCGTTGAGATGTCTGAAGGGTGAAGAAATACAGTCTACGATAGACGCAAAGTTTGAATGCCACAAGCTATTTCGGCATTTTTCTGACAAGTGGTGAGAAGATGCCGAGTGTCGAGGAGGAGACCAGTGACGCCGCGGGAAGAGCGGTGATGGAGGTGACTCCGGCGTTCGACGCCAGGACTATTCCGGAGTTCGACGGAACTGGAAACGTAGTGGAGTGGCTGGAGCAGGCTGCTCTCCTGTGCGAGCTGCGATCAGTGTCCTTGATGGCTGTGTTGCCGACTCGCCTGCGCGGCGGTGCTTTCGCGGTGTGGTCCCGAATGCCCGCAGCGACTCGTCATCAGCTGCCCAGCGTGAAGGCTAAGCTGCTGAGGGCCTTCGCCATGGACGGTTGGACCCGTTCACCGCGCAGGCGGAAATGGCACGGCGTCGCCTTCATCCCGGAGAGACGGCGGATGTGTACTTAGCGGCGCTGCAGCAGCTCGCTGAGTTGAAGGGAGGTCTGCCGGAGAGAGCTATCGCCATCACCTTCGTCAATGGGCTGCCGGAGGCTGCGCAAGCTGCGGTTCGGGACGGGCTCGAAGACGAGTTCACTCTCGAGTACGTCCTGGACCGAGCGAGAACCGTGCTGTCCAGGACAGCAGTCACGGCAGCGCCACCGGCGGCGGCGGCGGCGGCGGCGGCGGCGAGTGGGCCATCACGTGACATTTCAAGGTCAAGTCGCCGGCCGGCTCCGATCAGATGCTGAATATGTGGTCGCCCAGGTCATGTCGCCCGGATGTGCCCAAACGGCTGCGGCGGGGGAGCTGCATCAGCGCCAGCACCTCCTCCGCCGTCCACCGAGCCGGCAGCAGAGCGCCGGTAATCCAGATGCTGCTCGACGGGCGACCGTGTCACGCGCTGGTGGACACGGGCTGCGAGGAGACCGTAGTGTTCGCGGGTTGTGTCGATAAATGGGATCGATGTGAGACAAACTTGACCGCGGTGAATGGGAGTGCCGTGCGATGCTGCGGGAGTGCAGAGGTGCTGCTGGAGGCACAAGGCCGGCGGGCGGTGGTCCGTGCTGTGGTAGTGGCGGAAAGGTTGTTGGGTGTTGACGTGCTGTTGGGCATGACCGGGTTAGAGGCGCTGGGTGGTGTGTTTGTTAGTGGTGGAGAGGTGTGTTTTGGTGTAAAGTGGTGACGGGGGAGCGTTCGAGGTGCGCCGGTGTTAAGGCAGAATCGAGCGGTATGTCGGCAGCGGTGTCTCAGGGGCGTGGTCCAGTAGACAGACAAATCGAGACGGCTGATTTTGTGGCTAAGTTCAGCGACGGAAAGTGGACAGTTTGGTGGAAGTGGGCCGACGGAAAGGAGCCAAAACAACTCAAGAATACTGTGCGGCAATATCGCGTGCCGGCAGAGACGCAGGAGCGGTTCGACGCAGAGTTACGGCTGTGGATCGAGGAAGGGTGGCTGCGGCCGTATAATGAGCAGGAACACGGGCCGGTGCGTGGCCTAATTCCGCTCATGGCGGTCACCCAGGAAGCCAAGGACAAGGTCAGGCCGGTGCTCGACTACCGTGAGCTGAATGAGCACCTGGTGGCTCATACGGCTGAAGCTGATGTGTGCCGCGACCAGCTCCGCAAGTGGCGGCAACACGGCGACGATGTGGCCGTCATCGACCTGAAGAAGGCGTTTCTGCAGCTGTACGTGGCCCAGGAGCTGTGGCCGTTTCAGACGGTAATCGTGGACGGCCAGCGACATTGTCTGACAAGGGTCGGATTTGGTCTCAGCGTTGCAAGCGGCATCATGCGAGCGGTAGTGCGGGAAGTTTTGGATCAAAGTCCAGAGATCGCAAAAGCATTGCTCCCGTACGCTGACGACCTGCTCGTTAACGAGACGCTCATCTCTGCTGAGCGGGTGACCGAACATTTTGCCGCATACGGGCTCTCGTGTAAGTCACCGGAACGGGTAGCGGACGAGGCCGGAGCCCGGATGCTGGGGCTCCGAGTGAGACGGCAGTCTGGCGGTGACGGCACACTGAGATGGTCTCGGGACGGCGTGACACCAGCTGAGCCACCCGGGGTGCTGACCAGGCGGTCAATCTTCGCCTGGGCGGGTCAGCTAACCTCACACGTGCCCGTCGCCGGGTGGCTGCGGCCGGCCGCCGCCTGGCTGAAAAGGGCGGCGAACAAGGTCACCAAAGATTGGGACTCACCGATCACTGACGATGACCTGCGCAAACAAGTCAGTGATCTGGCCCGGCGGCTGGCAGAGTGTGACCCGGCACGAGGACAGTGGTGCGTCTCAGGAGACTCGGTGACGGTGTGGACTGATGCCAGCTCCATCGCCCGCGGCGTAGTGCTAAGTGACCCCACCACGGGTGAGGTTATCGAAGACGCCGCGTGGCTCCGATCTGACAGTGACTCAGACATGCACATAAACCTATCGGAGCTGGATGCCGCGCTGAACGGTATGAATATGGCGGTGGCGTGGGGATTCAAGCGTGTGATCCTCCGCACAGACTCTGTCACTGTTCAGCGCTGGCTGACCGACGCTCTGACAGGCCGTGCCCGACTGAGGACGAAGGCACAGTCGGAAATGCTGGTTCGGCGGCGGGTGGCCGTTTTCAAGCAGCTCTCCAGCGAGTACGACCTCGTCGTGACAGTGGACAACGGTGACGACGCAATGGCTGCTTCGACGGATGATGAGCAGGAAGAGGAGATCGCCTGTCCGGTTCCGACCGCCCATGTGCCTGGACAGCTGGCCATTGAGGCGCCGGCGGCGGTGGAGCCGTCAGAGCTGACCCCAGCTGTCGCGCCGACCGAGCAGACCGAGCCGGTCCCTCGAGCAGCAGCTGAGACGGATGGCGGTGCCGGAACAGAGGAGCGGATCCATACAGTGAAAGTTGTAAAAACAGAAACTGAGGGATTGTCAAACGACCGTGTGAACGAAGGTAGAGCGCCAGCGGAAAGTGTAGATAATATCGATAGTTATAGTGACGTGCTAAGAAGGGGTTTGCGCTGCAGGCGTGCGCCGCATCTCTTCGGCGCTCCCATCCCCCATTAGTTAAATTGTAGTTAGATGTGTTCTTTAGGAACAGGGGGGAATGTGTCTCTCTGTTTGTTCACATAGTTTGTATTCTAGCCTTGTCGCGTAGGGTCGGCGTCGGGTCATAAGTGGTCATAAATGGAGGTCCATGTGCCACACATGTGCGCGGCAGCAGGGACACGCCGGCCCGTATATCAGGCGGCCCGGCTGGACATTTGGAGACGGGCGGGCAGTGGAGAGCAGGGCGGGAGAGAGAGAGGACGGGTCGGTGTGCGCGTTGAGATGTCTGAAGGGTGAAGAAATACAGTCTACGATAGACGCAAAGTTTGAATGCCACAGTGACGTCATAAAATTTTGAATAACTCCCACATTTTTTAACCGATTCTTCTAAAAATTGGTATGTAGGTGCACATAGACCACTTCTCTGACATATATTCCGTTTTTTTTTCGATACACTGAAAATTTTGGATTTTATAATTATTTTCCCCAAAAAGTCAGTTTTTTGAAGAAAAAAAATGGGCCAAAATCCAAAATTTTCAAAAAACCGAGATAGCCACTTGATAGACAAGGTAGAATCACGTATAACCTTTTTTGTTACGTCTTGATTCCTTTAAAATGAAGATGTTAGCGGCGTTGGAAATTTTGCCGTTTTTGAGGCGAAAATGGCGAACATGACGTCACTAAAACGTCAATTTCTCAAAAAATTTCCGACGGATTTCGCTCAAATTTTTAGAGAACGTGTCAAATTGATGTATGATAAGGTTCTGAAAGTTTGACGTTGCTGGCGTAACGCGTTTAGAAGTTATTGGCGAAAAACGGGAGGGGGCAGATTCTGCCCCCCCCCCCAGCGGGGTGCGGGTTAAAGGGACTATCCCACCTTTAACATGGGGTTTGAGTTGAAATAGCCAAGTTTGCGGCGAGATTCAGAAACCACTATCTATCTAGGTTGCAACCCCCGCGGCCTCTTGGTGTTGAATAAATTCGTTCCCTTCATTTCAGTCGGGGAAACTATGGTAAAATCTGCCATTTTTAGCAGTCTGCTATTTTTAGCAGAATTCTGCTAAAAATGGGTACGAATCTGCTAAAAATGGGTACGGTAAAAAGTACTGTTTGAAAACTGGTCAAACATTCATCTTTCACTCAGAAACACACTATTTTGCATGCAATGTCTATACTACAATTCTCACATTTTCAAATGAACCTATCATTTGCCTAAAAACTTTAAGGAACAATGCTGTAAATTTTGCTGATTCAGGAAGCCCCAAATGTTATTAGAAACTGCTATTTTTAGCAGCTGCATCTGCTAAAAATAGCAGAAGATATATCTATGTATCTATTGATCAATGGTGAAATGTACATGTATAACTGAGCTTTGGCACCCCACGCCCACTCCATCCACCAGAGGAGGCAGTACACTGTTGCCTAGCAGCACCATCTTAAGGCAATGGCACAGTACTGTTGACCAGGCTGAAACAGAGACAGAGACAGAGACAGAGACCGAGACCGAGACCGAGACCGAGACCGAGACCGAGACCGAGACCGAGACCGAGACCGAGACCGAGACCGAGACCGAGACCGAGAGAGAGAGAGAGAGAGAGAGAGAGAGAGAGAGAGAGAGAGAGAGAGAGAGAGAGAGAGAGAGAGAGAGAGAGAGAGAGAGAGAGAGAGAGAGAGAGAGAGAGAGAGCGAGAGCGAGGGAGAGAGCTTTTTACAGCATTCAAAAGTGTGGAAGGTTTCTTGAAAACAGTCTGATTACTGCAATACGTGTCATCATGTACCCCACATATCAAAGTTTACTAAGTCCTAGCACGTCCAGACAAGACTGAGACAGTACGCATTTCAAACAGGCAAAAGCATGCAGACACATACAGAAATAACATCAGGTTCTTAAACCGTGAGGCGTGAAGCCCCATTACCCATATGGCCCTCGTAAGATCTGTGGTAGACTCACACCATGCAACATTCAATATTCATCTGGTCACGCAATCACTATGCAATGATAATGATCAACAAATAAACACACACCCACACCAATGTTTCTTAAGGTTTGGCAATTTGATGTTGATTTTTGAAAATAATAGTCATCTTGAGGAACAAAACATGTGAAAAAAATAGTAAATAATTGACCATCAGCCTGCACCCTGACGTGTTTGACTGCTAGGCTGTGCCAAACTTCTACTCATTTCCCAAAAAAGAATTGTCTTGATTCAAAATAGCTGGTCATTACATACACTTTAAAGTCTGGAGAATAAGATGGAGGTAACATTTTTAACCAAAATGGATTATTAAACCACTAAAATGACATCCTAACCATGAAGGTTGAAAAGTCGTGCCAAGACCCAGCAGGGCATAAGCTGCTGTTTGAACAAAACCAGGCAATGCTATGTGCCAAATTTACCATTATAAGAAACACTGTGGCCAGGGTCATCTTAACAAACCACATAAAGGGCTAAATTAACTATTAAAATATGCCTACATGGCTATTTACCCCTTCAATGGTATGACCTTGATAACATGTGTGTCAACCAATCATGCCAAATTGTGTTTGTTATAGTGATGGCCTGTTCTAGTAATGAATCTCAACCATATGTATTTTTTTGCTAGATTTTGTTTTCAACATTATTTTCTGTCTATTCTTAATAGAAGAAACATAAAATACCTAAAACAATGACCAATTTCTAGGAAATTTCAGTGCATTCATCTTCCAATGGCAATATCTTATCAAAAAATAGTCGGATCTGAAAGAAAATAGAATAGGACACTCTCAGCACTATTCTCATCATGAATCTGCCAGGCATTTGATGCGCATTTGCTTCAAGTAGTGCGCAAATCTGTTTTTGTATGGGTCCGTACCCAAATCTGCTATATTTGGGTACGATGACGTCACGTGCGTACCCATTTTTAGCAGGTCCGTACCCATTTTTAGCAGATTTCTGCTAAAAATAGCAGACTGCTAAAAATGGCAGATTTTACCACAGTTTCCCCGACTGATTTGAAAATGGGCCTTGTACAAAGCCCTATCTTCAACATGGAGCGACCGTTAGTGTGACGTCACCTCGTTTAGTCATTCTGATTTAAATGGGTTTGTTCGTTGAAAAATCGCTTAAAACTTGGTCTGAACTTTGTTGTGGTGCCTACAGAGTAAAAAGAATCAGCTTTATGACAGTAATGTGGCCTGGGGAAGGAGGTAATTTTGGGCTGTGACGTCACATATTTGAAAGTTTGTGTTTGGAACATGGGAAGCCTAAGATGTTTAATGAAAAATAAATGCCAGAACCGTGTTCCTGGTCATCCAATCTATAAAGTCGGGCACAATTTAACTAGTTTTAACAACATTTTAGAAGGTGGGATAGTCCCTTTAAGCGCCTAGGTCACCTTGCACTGTATCCACGACTTACTCGATGTCGACTGGGATTATGTTTTCTTTGCCGAAACCGTCAGTGACAAGTGGCATGCTTTCTTGTCGTTTGATGTTTACAATAACCGTGTTTACATAGGGTTCCCTTAATCTTCCCCTATTTGTCTCTTAAATGTCCCTTATAAAGGAATCCTCTGTCTCCTTTACCTCGCTTCACTACAAATATGGCGCAACTAAGTCATTCTAGAAGCAGTTTGCAATTGTTACTTACCTTTAGGGCTCTCCCAAATAGCTTCCAGACTAGACACTGAGGTAAAAGTGATAGCACATGAAAGCTCAAAGCAAGAAAAATCAGAAAACTATCTGGCATTTAACATACTTTAAACGGCTGAGCTATTATTCAAGTAGGTATAATCACATCCACGGCAATATCAGAACACCGCACCTGTCGAATTTCCGCCTTGACTTTCTGCCGTTTATGCGTTAATGCCACTTAAAAATCCTCAGTCGGCGCACGTGCGCTTGTCGAGTCGGGGACCACCATTCGGACGATTCGGAACTGCCGGCCAATCAGCACGCCGCTTTTGTGATGTGATAGTTTGAGAACCACTGGATATGGTAGCGTAGCAGCTTTTGGAAAGGCGCTACGCTACCAAATCCTCCCCTATTTGTCGCTTAAAGAGGGAATTGAAGGGCAGGATAAAATTACTTCAAAATATGAATTGTTGAATTTCGAGTATCAAATAAGCCCAATTTATATTGTTTACAGCATAAACGATGCTTAGTATGCTTCTAACAACAATAGCGTCCATAGCAACGTTACACGCGAGCGCTATGATGCCTAAAATTCGATCTGAAAATAGGGGAGAAATAGGGGAAGATTAAGGGAACCCTATGTAAACACGACTAATGTGTCTTATACTGTTTAATTGTTTTTATCTTGACTTCGCGTGTCAGTGGGGCTTGTCCCTGTTGGTGATTTTGGTAAATAAACAAATAAACAAATTTTCAGTGCCATTTTGACCGTGTACCGTTTTTTGTGACCTTGTGACCTGACCTGAGGTCACTGGGACACAAAACTTCTAGGAAACGTGTCACATGGCTGCCCCAAGTTCTGTCTGAAATTTGGTGGCCATAACTCTTACGGTTCTTAGTTCTTACACTATTAGCGATAAACTCAGCGAATCCGTTGTCGCTGATAAAGTCCAATTTTACCCTGACATTGTACCGGTTTCGGTGACCTGACCTGAAATGACAGATATCTGAAATTTTTGTTTGTTTGTTGGGGCTTATAGATCTGAAATTTTTAGGGAAGGTCCCAAAAGGCCACCCTAGAGAGTATGCCAAACTTCGCCGTTTTTACGTTATTTGCGAAAAACAGGGGGGTTGCATCAACCCCCTGGCCCGGCGAGGGTTAATGCGACCTTGCGAGCATTTGCATTATCTCTTGTTTGTTTGTTCTCTTGTACATGTAAGTGCGCCATGCACTCTTACATATAAGGGGCAATGAATGGCATAGGTACTCATGATCTTTTTCATCACTTGGTGGATAGGAGGCAAGACTTGAAAAAGATGGTGTATCGCAGTAATTACCAGTGCTGACTGTACATAAATTACGCCATTGGCACTCAAGAGGCATCAACGGGAGTGGGACGTTAACGGTACACGTACGCTCGAATATAGGCGACACCCTATATGTGTTGCTATCAGTTAACAGTTTGTATCACCGGAACAGCTACATTCCTGTACAGTATGTCTAAAAAGTATGTCCCCTGGTTTGGCTCTCCCACAGGAGGCGAATCGGTAACTTGGCTGAATCCCAGTTGCGGCACCCGGCCGCCAGGGTCGCTGCCGCGCGAGCGGCCTTGACCGCTCGCATGTCATTGGCAGTTCGGTCCCTCCCCATCTATACAGAGGTGGGGAGGGGAGAAGAGGGGAAGAGAGGGGAGGGAGCGGCATCCGCTCGGCACTGGGCGATACCTGGCTGACCCCGCGCTCCCTCGCTGACCTCCGTCCTGCCCTCAGGCGAAGACCGACTTCCTCGGCCCGTAGCGGCCGAGCGGAAAACCGAGCTCGCAGGGCGCGACTCCATTGGCCCAATCTTATAAATGGAATGCTGTCGTATTCACGGCATTAGATAATATTAATAGTGATACCAGCAGTGGATGTCGTAAAATACAGTCCAAAACAAACGAAAGCACACGATTGACGCATAATGCGCCCTCCCATTCAAATAAGCCCGCCCACTTCAATAGATGGTGTAGTTTCTTAGGGCGTAAAAGATGCAAAACACTACCAAACCTTTTTTAGCTCGGCCACTGGGACCGTCAATATACAATTGACTGAAATGCATGAAAACCATTTTGCATTTAATAGCCGTTTCCTGCACCCAAACTTTAGCCAGTGACGCCCTGTCCATTCTAAAGCGTTTATAAGATTGGTCCCAGCACCCGATTTTATATGAGGAAGTCGTTTAAAAAGCATCTTATCTCTAACTAATTTATTTATTATGGCCACTTTTACAGGACGTCTATAGAGCTTTGACTTTTACATTTCTTCCTCGTTCAGGAGTAACGTTTTAACCCTCACCGGACCTTCAGGTTTTCTGAATACCGAGGGGCCGTTGGGGGGTTAGAAGTGAGGGAACAACCCCCTTTGCCGATTCGCCCCTTAATGAGCTAGAGCCTCACGAAAGAAACGATCGTGCGCGTCGTTACGAAATGCAGCGATTGGTCTCCGATTTTAAGGACTAGGATCAGCCGATGACTTCTGAGGTTAGGTCAAGTGGCCCAAGGCACAGGTTCGGTTTTTGGTAAATAACTTCGCTAAACATGATCGCAGATCCGCGATTTTAGCAGCATCGTGTTTGTCTAGCTCAGGCGTGTCGAATGGTATATTTTTTCTTCGGGTGAGATCAAGTTAAGGTGTTAACCTCGGGTCAAGGTCAGGTCACAGCCCGTCAGGTCACGAAGCTGGTCAAAGCAAAGAGATCTTATACACAAATTAATTTAGGATAGTTTAATTCAAGTCGGTATGAATCCGACTTGACAATTTACTAGGTGGGTTTTGCAGCGCTATTACTTCGGCATGTAATTATAAATCATTGCTAATTTCGATCCGGATGTCGTTATTCAATGCTGGCCTTTGCGCCCTCAGAAAAGTTTAAAGTCATGAAGGCTTGCATTGACCCATACTTTCCATTTTCAGCACCATTATTCGCCGTAGTTGACCAGGTATTTTTCTTCAGCTCTCCCCCGAATCATTTGGCTTAGACCCATGGCATATCACCCGTGCATCGCAAGACGCACCTACCACACACAAGTTCACGATCCCCACGAACCCACATCAGCGTCCGTTCGCTTGGTGTGTGACCCCTTGACCTTTGGCCGCGACAACTGCCAGCTTGCCGGAGCACCCCTCCCTGCACGCGCTGCCCCGCCCTCCCTCTCTCCCTCCCCCCCGGGGTCGTGTCACGAAGGTTCGGGCTTACGCTACTACCGGCCGCTGCGCAGCTGTCACCTAGCGCTTGGGAATGTGTGGTCTGGTGCGGATTCAGCCAACTACCGGCTCGCGACACCAGCGCCACGTAGTGGCGACGGTACATTCTTTTTAGACATACTGTACACAGTTGCTGCTGTATATTTTATAATAGCCGTTTTCACGACGTCCATCTGGTACACATTTGGTGCACATCTGGTGCAGATAGGTGCAAATTTGGTCAAATTAGGTTCAGTGTCTCTTAGTAGCTATCAGCTAGGGTTGCACTTATTGCTTGTATGCCTAGTTTGTCATATTATCAGAGACGACAGAGAGCATCATGGATTAAAACACTGAAATAAATTCATAAAGTGAAAATATTTGCTGTAAAAGAGATTAGGTGCAGATGTGGTCAAATTAGGTGCATTCGCCGGATAGCCCGTCGTGAAAGCGACTAATGCTGTTACCAGCAAAGTTTTCACACATACGAGACGAGTGAAGCGGACTCAGGTGTAGGTACTATATGTAGGCTCCTCTGACGGAGTCGCACGATGGACTCTATAAATTGCTACGCAGGGCTACGCTGGCTACACAGGAGACATCATGTTCTATCAACGATTATCCGAATGTATCAGTGATGAATTTCAGCGGAGGCTGTCTTTGGCAGTATTGATTGCATCATGCCCTTATCGGTCTCATTTTGCATGCAGACAGAGATGAAGGCTATCTCTGGCTAGATCCGATGATGCATCCATGTTCCATGTTTTACATTCCAGTCAACGCATGCTGCTCGTCTCAGAAAAATGGATTGGTCCGGGACCGGGTCGCACTGAATCAGACGAATATTTGACGAAAGCTACGGGTTCACCACAACTGAGTTTCGATAGTAGATATATTGGTCATGGGACACACGATTCCAGACCCATTCGTCTGGACATTATTAGTTACCGGCACCGGCATGGAAGGGCCATTATTGATGGAGCTACATATAAAAGATTTTTCATTTGCCAGGTAACAGTGCCAGTAGGTACCTGTCTTTATTAAAATGACAGGAAAATACTTAATCTGAATTTAGGATAATCCCTACAGATTATAATAGGTTTGCCTTTAAAATGTCACAAACCATAGGTAGTCCCTTTGATAAATAGTGCACATCTACGTTTGTCGTCTACATTATAAGCTGCTATTAAAAAAATAGATTTGCAATAACTAGGAAAACTCATACTTGTTTCAATACAATGTGTTTCAAGTTTTGTAGTTAAAACACTCTTGATTTTTAAGGTAGGCACTGATAATAGCTCCTTGCCGGTGCTGCCGGGGCCCTATCATCGCTGCCCGTCAGAATAGGCTTATCTGTCGGCTGGAATTGCGCATTGCAGAATTATCATATTTAGAAAGCTCTTGGTTGCTTCCGTAATCAAAGATCTTGCACTTATCGGATACCAGAGATGGCTCTTGCATCACCGAAAGATCTGCACGCTTATCTAGCCCGTATTTGGAGTCGTTACCACACGACTTCAGCGAGGGAAACGTTTAAACTAAACAGATATTCACGTTCGCTCTGTTTATTGTCAGAAATTGTTTCCAGGTCAACAGCATGGAATCATCCGTTTTCTAATGCATGCTTTTTAATCCATCCTACATTGTAAAACTGGCGCGGACTTAAGGACAACATCAAAATGCCTCGCTAATCGCTACAAAAAAAGATATGAAGTCGCAGAAATTATAATGCTTCCAAGACTAAGTTTTTACGCTAAAAGTGTTCATCTCGCTCTTGAGTACTGCCTACTGCCTACTGAGCACTGCCTCAAATGGCACAAAAAGGTACGAAACTTACAGAGTCACAACTCACATTGCATCCTTACAAACTTGTCCACCACCATCCCAGGTGTATTAGCATTTTGGTGAGAAAAAAGAAGATGTAGGTATAAACGCACTAAAATTGAAGGACGTTTCTCCTAAATCTCGGTATTTCTAAATGACATCTAATGAGCCAAACATTTTGGTCAGGGTGCCTTTCGCAGTGATTATTGAACACATTAAGAATGAGTTAAAATCTAAATTATAAGTAGGATAGAGGCTGATAAACTGTGGTATGCATATTTATTTTGTACGCAAATTATCTACAACGGCCCTACATTCCCAAAGTTACAACAAACACTGAAAAAACGTCCTGAGACCAAAGCGTACGGCGCAATAGCTTTATCTCGCTGTCTATGGTTGTAAATTAATTTCAAACAAAACACTGTGGTAAAGTATTTAGTAACAGCACTCGTGGCTCGTCTGACAACAGTAAGCACATACACGACGCTCCACAAGTCGCAACATGAATCAATTGAAGCGATTCACACTCTGATTTTGTCCCACATTGCGCATTTAAGTTACTACAACTATTGCCATCGTGAAGACGGCTTGAGCACAACCCAATACCGGCCCATCGTCACACTGATCTGTGTGTGCAATCCTCACACTGACAGCCGCAGCTGGAGAGCTGCCAGGTCAGTGCCCTAGGTGGCAGCACCATCGCCAAACTACATCCTAGGTGGCGCAGCCATCAAGCAAAGGACTGGTGCCCTCCATTGAGTCACAATGCCCTTCGATTTCACACTGGCATTCGGTAGTTTAGGTTTAGGTGCTATGAAGGATCTGACAAGACACAACTGACATTATTTGCTCGTTGGTCTGACAACAAGCTGAACAAAAATATCAGAAGTAGGGTATAAGGTACAAAATAAATACCTACATAGGTGTGTAATTAATCGACTGTCGACATCGCTAAGATCACTAGTAGAATTCACCCGTAGCTGCTCGCATAGTTGCGTTTGGCCATGTAATGACACACACTGCAGCATCTATCACCAGCTTTTTGCTTCAACGGTTCAGGCAGCAGCGCTGTCGGTGAAGCCTTTTTCTAGTAAAGTTGGACTAACAGGAAAATAACAGGTTGGCAATCATTCTTAGGGCGACCTCTGGCATGCCGTCCGGTGTCCATCCCGTTCACAACACGCACACACAAACACATTCACAACGCAAGTTGTACCCATCCTCCATCCCACAACACATAGCACCAGCGAGATTTCATCCCATATTTTGACAGCACATCGTGAAATAGCCAACAACTGCTAACTTCTCGCGGTCTAGTTGCAGTTCCCCTACAACTTTGGCGTTTATTTGGCGTATTTCAATTGACAAGCAAATGTCTTTGGCGCCGCTTGCCCATAACATTACACAAAACCATCACACTGAATGAAACTGATGCACGTCCGTCCGTGCATTGCTCTCAGTTCACATTTCACAGTCACTGACGCTGACTAGTCCAACAATTTCGGTAGGTTTGGCGTCCCTCCAGTCACTTGTGGACCGGTCACTGCTGAGTTTTTCTCTTTATTGTGCGATTGTGCGATCGTTTCGAGAGTGCTCTGCGTTTCGGTGGCGACGACGGGTCCGTTTGAAACCGGAGTGACTCCTGCTCAGGTCAGTCCGGTCGATTCAGGTCACTCAGGTCACTCGAGTAGGCGGTCCGAGGCAGCTGTTGGGTCACTCAGGTCACTCAGTGAAGAGGGGGCGTTCCGACCAGCTGTCAGGTCACTGGGGTCAGGTCCTCAATCCAGCTCATACTACGCGGTACCTATCCGTGTTGGAGCCAGGCTTGACGAAAGTTTTCTGGTTGAAACAAACCCAGAAGTAGAAAAGAACAGTCTGACTTCTGACAACTTCATCTGAAAAGCGTGCCTCCCCCCCCCCCCGCACGAATCATTTCGTATCTGAGCCATCCTTTAGGTTTCCACCTCTACAACGCGCGTCTCTCTCCAGTCCTGCCCCTCTCCCTGTGCTCTACCCAGCCTCTCCTCTCCCCTGTATCGCCCGCACCGTGTCACAGTGTACCGGTGGATGAGGCGACACTGGGCGGATCACTGGGCCCGAACCGCCACCTCTCTCATACGGTGTCCATGGTGGAGAGCCGCGACCCCAGGTGGTCACACACGTGCACGTGACGGTGTGAGGGTGAGGTCGGGTGGCGCCGGTGACGGTCCTCCCCGCGGCGTCGGCACCAGACGCACAGACCCAGACCGGCCACCGCCACGATGGCCAGTATGACGCCCAGCAGCATGAATACGTCCACCTCGGCGGCCGTGGCGCCTGAGGGCACAGGCAGGTCATAGCGAGAGTCAGAGGGGTCACATCAGATCACAGACGCCAGCGGATGTCGCATGGGGTCAGTTGGGGGTCAACGCAGGTCACGGTGAATCACGCAGATCACGACGGGTTACAGAAAAGTTTTGCCAAGTTTCTGAGGTTTGTGAAAAAATGACAGGGGTCACGGCGGGCCATGGGTCACATTGGGTTACTGTAACTCTAAAGGTCACATTGAGCAAAGACAGGGCACAGCGTTGGCCCCAAGAGTCGCATTTTTCGTACGCGAGTTTTGTCATTACTTTCACCCAGACATTTGCCGTTTTCAGAAAATAATGATATACCTAATTGCGTTTATGAACTGTTTCACGTTCTAATACATCGACGAGTTTTTTTTTTTTCAAAACCCCACATCTGTTCTCCCTTGAATTTTCGACAAGTTGGATAGAAACTTAAAAAAAGGTACAGTCACTCGTTTTTTCTCAAGTCTGTGTGTCTTGGCAGATCTTGGCAGAACACGCTTACAAACACACACAACTATTTGATCATGATCGGACGATTATACACTTTCTTAAAAGGGGTCTTTCGTGCTTCTCGGAAATTCAGGGCAGCACCGATGTGGGGTTTGGAACAAAAACGCGTCGATGTTGAACACTGCTGAGGTCCGTTGGGTTCGGGTTTAGGGTCGGGATCTTACAGCCAGTCTCGTCGCTAAGGTCACCCACGCCACAGTTGGCTCTCATGTTGCATCGGAGCCGCTCAGGGATGCAGAAGCCGTTCTTCTCACAGTGGAAACCGTCACACTCCTTGTCTGTGGAGGCAGAACAGGTAAATCTACCATCAAACACGGTACATCATTTGGTGTCAGCAGCCGACATAAACACAAGGCACAGGTCTGATGCCCGCAAACACTATCGGGGCAATGAGGTCCGGGTCAATTGATATTGAGGACATGAGGGTTGGTAGATAGGAATCGTATCATATATCTTACGTACCTACAATCTACATCTATTAAAAAGAGTGAGAGCATGAATAGCTCTTTTTTCGTGAGGAGTTTCAGTAATCGGTTCATTGGCCCATGTTTTTCTCGCTCTTCTCTCTCGATCGCTCCCTTCCTTCCTCCGTCCCCTCTTCACCTTCGGTCACTCTCATTGTCCCTTCATTCACCCCCTCCTCTCCCTCTCTCCCTCCCCCTCCTCCCAGCTCCATCACTCACCGTCCTTCATCTCAGTCCAGTACGCTCGGAATCCCTGCTGACCGACCGACTTCTCTGACGATATGAACGACAGCTTCATTACGTTACTGGCAGAGATGATCTGCTTGTAGCGTGACATCAGTGTGTCTCCGCACAGCTCGATGGGGGTGCTCTTCAGGTCCTGCCAGATTCGCACCACCGCCGCCGGGCAGCCGCGGTCTGTCGGCACGGGTCAAAGGTCAGTGGGGAGGCCCAGAGATCACCGGGGGACCGAGAGGTCAGCGGGAGACCGAGAGGTCATCGGGGAGGCCCAGAGGTCACCGGGGGACCGAGAGGTCAGCGGGAGACCGAGAGGTCACCAGAGAGACTCAGCGGTCACTAGAAGAGGTCAGGGGTCGCCGGGGAGACTCAGAGGTCAGCAGAGAGACTCAGAGGACAGAGGAATAGGTACGGGGTCAGCACGACAGATAAGAGGTCACTAGGATCAGTAAAGGTCAGTTGGAAGGGTTATTGGTCAATGGGGGAGGTCAGAGGTCACTGGAATCGACAAACGTCAGTTGGGGAAAGTCATACTGAAGAGCGTGAGGGTGCACCTGGAAAGGCTATAACCGGCCGCTTGAAGATGAACACTATTTCCAAATATTCGATTTTTTTGACAGGAATAGAGAAAATTAAAGCACGTAACTAGCGGCAGTAACAACAGAAACAAGTTTACGAGCATAGTGTTGTGAACAGAACATCTTTAACCGCCTATCAATTCAGCGATTCGTCCATTCGTTCATCCGTCGACCGTCTCGGCGTTTGTCTGGTCTTGCTATCCGATTATCCGACTATCCGTCTATACGCCTATACATACGTCCATTAGACTATCCGTCTATCCTTCTATCTATCTATCTGCCTGATGCGTCAATCCGCCGCCCGTCAGTAGTTCTATCATTTCGTCTGCCCGTCTGCCGCTGTTCGGCTGTCCATGTGAGCTTCCGTTCATCAATAGCATATTACTCACTCCAGCGCGCTATGCTCGCCTTATATGGACCGCCATCTTACTGTGACACCTGGTGCGAATCAGCTGAGTCACGGGACCATCGACCGCGCCCGTACCATGCCATATTTGGTGCCGGTGACCGCCGCGCCGCCACGCTACCTCACGACGCTTCCCCTCCCTCCCCTCCCCCTCTTGCCCCCTCCCCGCTCTCACGCCGCGTGGGGAGCAAGCCGAAGGTCAAGTGCATTCGGAAGCAGCAGGAAGGCTCAGACCGAGTGTTTTTTCAGAGATTGCAGAGCAGGGCTTGTGCAACATAACAGCAACGGGAGCTAGCGGTGTCACTACCGCTTATTCAATATGTGGCCCATCCGCTCAGAAATAAGAAATAGATGGATGTCTTATACAGTTATACGCCTTCCAATAAATAGTTGGTATCAAATTGGTTATTGGCATTATTGGGACCCCAGCCCGTCGCCATCACATCAGTGTCGCTGTGTTGCTGTTCGTTCCACAGGCCCACGTTGACCCCGGAGGAACCCTAGCTGACCCCACAGTGACCTCACAGTGACCTCATAGTGACCTAGGAGGTCGACTCACTGGATCGGTCTCCCTCCACGATGAACGTGTCGAAGTAGAGCAGGATCTTCCTCTCGGGTTTGACGTGGATGTACCAGTGGCAGACCTTGCTCTCCTTGGCCGGGTAGTTGTCCGGGAAGAGGGGCGAGGTCACCACGCCGTCCTGGGAGCTGCTGATGTTCTTACCGCAGTCTGTGGGCGCAGAGGCAGTGTATAGTTGGAAAACAGCCAGCGGACACGGCGACCTGTGTAGGTAGTCTAGGTAGTCATCAACGGCACGTAACTGCTTACAAAGCAGCCGGTATAGACACGGGCTTCAAACACTGAATTGGAAATAAATAAAGTGTAGTATGGTAATAATATAATAAAACGGTGGAATAATTAAACGTATAGTCGACTACAGAATGATGTTCCACTCCTTAGAAGCTATCAGTTGACCGGAGCGCTAAGTTGTGCCTTTTATCACGCAATTAAGCGTGTCGATTGTGAGCATTGGGACAAAGCTATAATTTGTGAACTCAGCCCGTGTGATGCGGCACAGCCTACCACTCCAAGCAAATAACTGCCTGTGAAAAGTGGAACATCATTCTGTAGTCGACTATACACTAGCTAAAAAGTTACAGAAAAGCAATCGGTACCTACTAGTCAAGCAGTTTGCTACGTTGATACCTACCAACTTGAAACCATTTGTACGTGCATTGATGCAAATCAGATTGTGTTACACAGGCAAATGCAAAACTGCCCATTGCTACTCTGTAAAAATTGCAGGTTCGAAAGCTCATATATGGACTTTCGAACCTGCAATTCTTATACCGACAAGTTTGGTATACCAACAGGCATAGGCAGCGGAACGGGGGGGGGCACCAGCGCACCGTGCCCCCTTGATTTTGCCATTTTAACATTAGCCCTATGAGCGTTGCATGGAAAGAATGGGACCAAAAGTCGGCAGTGACACCCCCCCCCCCCCCAATTGAAGGTGTTCCGCCGCTACTGCCAACAGGGAGGAGCTGTCATGGTGCTTCATAATTTAAGGATAATGTGACTTGAAAGAAATGATGTATTTTTAACATTAATTTCATATTATTACGTCGATATTTTTATCATATCTAGCGTTTCAGGTAAGAAATAGACCCTGAAATAGTCGCCAATCCCTAAAGCGTCTTTGAATCCACGTTTACATTTCCAATCTTCGTTGAAAATCGTTCTGAATTACTCGAAATTCGCATTCAGAGCACGCAAAAGGAAACACATCGTTACGCAAACTCTAAAGGAACTGTTGATTAATTAAAGTGCAAAAATGATATGTGGAATAAATATTTTTTTCAAACGAGTTTGATCCTGTATAAAATATTCATAGAGGTAAGGCGTGAAGCAGGTTTTAAATGCTCACGAGTACGAAACCAGTTACCCACCTAACAGCCTCACATATCATCATCATCGCTTTCGATGGCAACATAAAATCAAATATTCTAAATAGCCAGACGTTTCGGTCTTAGGGTGCCTTCGTCAGTGAAAATGTCGAGATACTAATACATTAACAAACTAATCAATATCTTTAACACTTTCAAAATACACATGACCTGGACATGAAATTTTGAAAGTATTTTGAAAGTGTAAAAGATATTGATTAATTTATTAATGTATTAGTATCTCGATATTGTCACTGACGAAGGCACCCTGAGGCCGAAACGTCTGGCTATTTAGAATATTTGCTTTTATGTTGCCATCGAAAGTGAATAAATATCACAATGTCTGACACGATACATACAATCATCATCATCATCATAACCAAGTTTATTAAACCGATGCACCATATAATCAGATATGGTGTCAACGGGATCATACCATATATGGCTGATGCCCTATCTTAGACCGAATATGGTCTGTCAAGCCCACCTAGGCAGCCACACACTTGAGTTGATCACACTATCGGGGAACCTTGAGCACACTGAACTCATTGATAGAGACAGATACCTTATTAGTATCGAACACACCCTGTTCATGAAGACCCATGACCGAAATAAATGAACTCTGACCGGTTCCTGCTATATAGCTCGTGTCACTGAAAGCTTTGAATGGTTGAGTCACCCAGTGACTTGCATCCTTCTATTAAACTAAACGTTCTGACTACACCTAGATCCAACGAGGGTCTCAATATCAATGTCGTTCTTTGAGGTAACGTTTCTTTGTCTCAATATCTCTTCTTTGAGGTGACGATTAAATGCAAGATTCATCGGTTACCAAAATTAGAGCAGCGTCATGTATCAAAATAAGATGTAAGCAACCACGGTAAAACCTTTGCCGTGCATTTCTCCATTTATGCTGAGATAATGTTTGACCGCATTTGGAAAAAGGTGTGTCATGGTGCGTCCTGACTGGCCCGACCACATCATTTGGCCTTCACTTAAAAATAAGGGTGCATAGCAGTCAAATTCTACGCTACAAAATGAAGTGCTACGCATAATTTCAAAAGTAAGAAAATAATGACAAAATGTATCCATTATTGTCTGCCTGACGTTATGTCGTTGCACTTTTAACAGAAGCGAAATAATAAAGAACACAATCGATGGAAAATCGATGTTCGACCGTCGAGGCCCATTCGGTCAGCGTCAGTGGGTTTGTTTTCCCGCCTACACTCGGCTGCCACAGCTGTGTCCCTCCCCGTCAAACGCAGGCTCTCCTCCCACACAAGTTAGCAATGATGGGGGGCACTAATCGTCAACTGCCCACACTCACCTCCAAATATGTCCTTTGCGTTGAGGAATATGTACTTGGCTTTGAAGCCGCTGGATACGTGATCAGCGTCAGAGTGCAGAATGACTCGGAGTCCGCGGGCACCCCGGATGGACTCAGTGGGACCCGGAGTCGACTGGTTGCAGTACCGGGCGATCAGGTCCGTGCTGTTGTCGTAGTAGATGTTGTATATCTCCAGCCAGTCTTCGTGGCAGTTGTGCACTCTGTCAGAGTAAGAAAATAAATATATCATGTAGAAATAGGTCATATAGCTATTTGTCTATTTGTACTTATGTGTGCAGCTCCAGACAGAGTTCAACGATGACCGCGTAGCAGGTAATTTGTAATTTGACCATTTTTTACAATTTGTAATAATTTGTAATACCTGAATTCTTAATTTTGTAATTTAACTATCTTTTGATTCATTGAAGAACTTTGGTCAACCGTCGCTAACCTATCAATTTTCTTCATACATGTCCCCGGCCGAAGAAGGGAATGGGGTTAGGTTGGAAACCCTCACAGTTTCACCCTTAATTGAGCTAGAAGTGACGTGTGTGCCGTTGCGGGACGTAGCGACTGAGGTCGCCCCACACTGAACCTCGCATGCGGGTTGCGAGTTTGCGGGTTTTGAGTTTGCGGGCATAATACTAATTCATAATACTAATATATATTCATATATTCATAATACCACAGATAACAGTAGTACTACTGTTATCTGTGATAATACTAATAGAGTGATTAGACCGTTCCCTGATGGTAACTTCATGAATGCAGTGAAGCCGGTACACCTTCAGAAAAATACATATAGTCGCAATACCAGAGCAACGAACCAAAATTCGACTGGACAACGAAAAACCCGCAAACCTCGCAGAACTCGCACACCTCGCAGCGAGGAAAATCGAAAGTTGACTCTAAAAAAAAACTTTTGAAATGCGATGCAAGGTGGCTCGCAAGCTAAAAACATGCAGGCTCGCTTGTTAGATGGTAGTGTGGATCACTCAGCTTAGATTGTATTCTTTGATTTTGAAGAAACCCGAAAACCCAAATACTCGCAACCCGCATGCGAGGTCCAGTGTGGGGCGGCCTTTAAAGTCTTAGGTATCAGGTAGGGTTCAGGATTTTTGGTAAATAGCTTTGCCAAGAAAATTATCGCAGAGCCGGGGTTTTGGCAACATTGTGCTATGTCCATGATCAGAAGCATCGAAAGGTAGGGTAGGGTGGAGTAAATTGAACAGGTGGGGCAATTTAAACATAGTATGAATTTACAGGCATTCCGTTTACAAACATTTCAAAGAAATGCGTTGTAAAATAGAGTACCTAAAGGCTAAAATGCATTCAATTGAAAATCATCAATGGGGAATTGCTCGTCAAACAAATATTTTGCTAATTGAGGTCACTGATACCAGGTCAGGCCACAGAGGTCAGGTCACTGAGGGTCACAATATGAAGATATCATGTGATGCATGTTTCATGGTCCATTTTATATGACAAATGCGATTATGTGGGTCAGGCAACCTTTGGGGCCAGTTTAGGTTATGTTCTGGTGAAGGTCAGGTCAAGGTCCGTAGCTCAGTTGGTAGAGCGTTGGACTCCGCGTGGTGAGAGCACGCGTTCCCGGTTGAAACAGTCCGGGTTCGAGCGCGACGGGCGCTTGACATCTATGGGCCTCCTGACAGGTATGGTTGCGGTTGGTGGCAGGCCGTAGCCAGGCGAAGTCAGTGAGGGGACCGGCCGTGCGCGGATATGTGCGCACGTTAAAATTTGGACTCTAAATTCTGCCATATAACTGGAATTGCGCGATCGGAGGGTAGAGGGCAGGGTCACCGCAACAAACTTCGCTTAGCGGTGGCTCTGTCCTTGTGAATCCTTCCTATCAAAAGGTTTGGACTAAATTTATAAAAAAGGTCAGGTCAAAAAAGGTCAAACTTTTAACTTGGTATTTTTGCATAAATGGGTGCAGCTCGATGCAGCTCGTCACGGGGAGTCTAATGGTTGTCTTTGGTTTTTGCTACGTAGTTTAGAATTGCTACAAATTGAGTTCAAAAATTTGACTTCATCAATTTTGAGCAGTTTTTTCGCTATACCTAACTTTGCCAAAAAAGGATATATCGATCTAAAAGTTGGTATGTAGATAGACGAGGGTGGGGATCATCATACATATTCCATTTTTTTGTCGAAATTCGACAAAAATCTTTTAGGATTTGTATACTATTTTATTTAAAAAATCTGGTGAAAATCACGGAATTTTGAAAATACGAGATAAGAATTTTGTAACAACGTTTTTCCTCTACAAGACCATATAAAGAACTTTGAAATTGCTCTTAACTGTAGCTTTAATCAGCGTTTCAAAATTTTATGTTTTTTGCTCATTTTTGCTCCAGCATGACCTCAGCTACATAGACCTCAACCCTAGAACGCCTGGGGGGTTGTATCAACCCCCCCCCCCCTGAGGTTTTTTTCGAAGTGCACGCTAAACGGCTTGTCGTAGCGGGCTGAAATTTTCAATACCCTCTGGGGCAACCTTTGCGCATCTTTTGCCGAAAAAATTGATCGGGTCATGTCAGGTCACGGAGTTATGACGTCATAAGAGGTACAGCCTCCGGCCGACAGTTACCAAACGTGTGCGCCGAATCCCTAGGTTTTCTGCCGGTGATACCCACATTATTTGATGGATCATGATGAAACTTCCCATGCATGTTGGGGCAAGCATTGGCTATCGTGTGGTGCAAGAAAATTGACCGGGTCAGGTCAGGTCACGGAGTTATGACGTCACAAGAGGAACAGCGTCCGGTACTATTTTTGAAAAGCGCCCGAACCACTATTTTGCTAATTCTTGTCACCTCAATGGGAATATGCAGCAATATTAGCTTCTATAGGGAGCAAATGGACCTCCCAAATCCAAAAATACAATCAGATTTCAAAAATTTAAATTTTGATTTTTTCGAATTTCTGCCGCCGACTGTGACCTTGCCGACTTCCGTCGCTCCCAACGCGCCATTTTTAGAGCTAGGGAAACGAAATACATACCAAACGATAGAGAATTGATCAAGGAACACGATAGTGAAGGTTTCAAGTCGATATCTCCCACCGTTTTGCCGCAATCGCCGCCGAAAGTTGAAAAAAGTATATTTTTCCGAAAATTTGACCTTCGACCGGTCAAAAGTAGGTCAAATGTTGACCTAGGACCAAAAAATATACCACCAATCGCGAGACCTCGTTGAGAGCAATCCGTTGGTTTTTTCCGCTAAGCTCTACGACCTTCCGTTTCGAAACGCCAGGGGGGGTCGTAACAACCCCCCCCCCCCTGGTCGTTCGTGTTATGAGAAATGGCCTGGTCGTGCGAGGGTCAATATCTCCTGACCTTAGATGACCTACGACTTGAAGTTTTGAATAAAAATGTCAAATTGATGTCTGAAAAGCTACTAAACATTTGGCGGCGCTGCGCGCCGTCGTTTTTCGCTATTAAAAAACAACAGGAAATGGAATGACGGAAAGGATATGATGGGAGGGGGGGGGCAAAATACCCCCAATAGGGCGCGGGTTAATATAAATCGTAAGATCAGGCACTGAATCGCGATACACATTTCCCTAAGTATCTGACAATTGTCTCAATTATCTCTGAACGCCTCCGCTGTGTGACGCGCAGGTCACTCACACCACTATATTAAGTTGGCAGGGCGGAGTTTTTTGTTTTCAGTTTTGGTCCGCGTTTGTACAAATATAGAGATTCTAATAATCTCATGTCCGATTCTAGGCAACTTCTTTGTAAAATCTCGAAATTGTTGATTGAGAAGGCAGTGCCACACTCATCAGCATGGTCTTTAAAGGGACTATCCCACCTTTAACATGGGGTTTGAGTTGAGATAGCCAAGTTTGCGGCGAGGTTCAGAAACCACTATCTATCTAGGTTGCAACCCCCGCGGCCTCTTGGTGTTGAAGAAAGTCGTTCCCTTCATTTGAAAATGGGCCCTGTAGCCAACAAACAAAGCTATTTATTTTAGCTAGGGCGATTTGCCGATTGCCGGTTCCGTGCCCATTGGCTGAATCCCCACATCTTGCCTCCGCCGTCAATAGAGGAGTAGGCCTGAAAGGTGATAAATGAACAATTATTGCATAGTTAGTAGGCTGTAATTACCTCGCGTTCACGTCCCATTGCTCGACATGTAAGACACGCTCATAGCTGCAACTGGGTAAATGTTTTACTGCCTGTAGGCTCGTAACTCAATCATAATGAGGTAGGTAAGCAAATTATGCAATATGCATTATGACATCATGTTAAGATGAGGGCTTTGGGCTAATTACCATTTAATCGGTGCGGTCAGAAATCCCCATGTGCTGGCACAATCTGGTAAAGAGGCGTACATGGGTGAATCCAATGTACGACTCCCCACACGAGGAGCAACAAAACTGGTAAAAAACACCAAGGTTTGGGATCTCTGTCCTTAAATTGGAAGATAGAACCGACGGTGAAGGTATTTGTTATTATACGGCAAAAGTGAAAGATTAAGTTCCGACTTAAGTCAAAAGTCGGGTAGGCCAACTTTTAATTATCTATGGCCGGCGTGTTCCAAGCAATCGCGAAAAATTGTCCCAGTGGTACCCGACCCCTTGGCCTGGTAGGGTTAACATGTGCCGGCCGTTATGTCGAAATGTAACTTATGTTTACTTTGACCTGACCCGTGGTATCATCAGTGGTCTCGAGGTAAGCAAACTGAAGTTTCATCAAACAGTTTTTGGGCTACCGTGCCCCGTTCAGATTTTGAATATCAGACGAGTAGTTTCGGAAGTATCGAATCTGTAGAGCCCCCCCCCCCCTCCCCCATCACTCGCGGTATGGGTCAAGATTTGGTCAATCTTGATTCTGTTAACACAAGTAGATAAATAGCAGAAAACATTATGGTAAGCAGAGCGCTACCTAGCCAATCTTTAAAAAATGTGTAGAATTCGTAACGAAAAACTAATGAAAATATTTGTTTACCTATATTTATTGCTTCTGTATCCTTCCCTCACTTCCCACTAGTTTTGTGTTAGATTGAACCCCCTCACCAACTATTAAAGTCACTAAGTCCGTAACTAGCAATAAACCTCCCCAAAATTACCCCTATTACCCACCCAAAACTCAAAAGCATGGGTAATCGGTGCGTTGTGCGATGATCGTGCGATTACCCACCTATCTATATATGAAAAGTGTTCGACGTTACATTAGCTGACCTTTTGTATCATTTTTTCAATGATCTTTTATCTCAATACCACACAATGATGGTCTTGCGCCATTCAAACTTCACAGCATGATATTGCATGGAACTTGGAAGATATAGGATTGACAAAACGTATGTTGATAAGCTCAACAAATGATTTTATTGATTCAGCCAAGACAGTTAAACAATGTCTTTGCCTGCAACGCAAAACACAAACACAACCAACGCAACCACAAACACAAAACACAACACACAAAAACACAACGTAAGCAACGAAACAACACCGACAAGAAAGATCAGTGCTTAAGCTCACAACTTATTTGCACACTGCACAACCAGTTAGACCAATCGCTTTGAAAGAAGCACTGACAAATGGCAATCAAAAGTTCGTCGCAGAGTCCATTTGATGTCTCTGAATAATTACCCATACGATAAAGATAGATATGAGCGTTACTATTCAGTCCAGTAACAGCACAAACAGCCAGACCGCCTAACTTTGTCTAGCTGCAGGCGAAACATTTTCGGCGCAGCTCCGTTTTAGCGTCGCACCACCTTAAGCCAGGTTCCGCCCTTCTCCTGGGTCAGCGAGAACCCGGGATCCAGCACCGGCTCCATCTTCCCGGACTTTGGACCCGTCACCAGCGAGTACTTCCTCAGCAGCGCCACCAGTGCCACCTTCGCCTGCAGCAGCGCGAACCGCATGCCGATGCAGTTGCGCGGTCCCTGACCGAACGGCAGGTAGGTGTACGAGTTGCGGGCCTCCTTGCTGTTGGGCAAGTACCTCTCCGGATCGAAGGACTCCGGGTTCGGGTAGAGATCTTCGTCGTACTGCATGGCTAGAGGAAACATGTACACCATACTGTTGGCTGGCAGAACTGCGTCCGTGCCAGGAATGGGGTAGTCGCGAGTCGAGCAGCGCGTCAGCTGCGCCAGGGGGTACATCCTCAGGGTCTCCGTCAGGACGCTCTCAAGGTACGGCATGCCGCTGTTGACTTTGTCGAAGGTGATGGAGTCGTCACTAGATGGCAGTGCTTCGTCGATCTCGGCTTGGACTCGTTCTTGCATTTCAGGATGGAATGCAAGCTGACGCACAGCCCACGCCAGAGTGTTTGAAGTGGTATCGTTCCCGGCGAAGAAGAACAGAAGACACTGAGCCGTGATTTCGTCGTCGGTGAGCTTGCGCGCCTGACTGTCGTCCCGACGTGAGTCGATGAGCAGCTGAAGGTAGTCGTTGCGGCGCCGTTCGGGGTGCTCCTCTCGTTCCTTGATAGAACGTCTCGAGATGTTGACGAAAAAGTCGTGGCTCTCTTTGTCGATGACATACGAGGTCATGTCGAAATGCTCTTTGACGAACTCCGGCATTGAGGAGAGAGCCAGGAAGACAAACAGATTGAAGGCTGACGGTGGTTTTCTCAACATTTCTGCCTTCTTGGCGATCGCTGACTCCGGATTGCGGATGGAGTCGGCTTCCAAACCGAATGCTACCGACGCTATTGTGTCCATGGTGAATCTAGAAAACACGTCCTTGACATTGATCTCTCCATCTTTCTGGGACTCCTTGAACATCTGGTCTGCGAGGGTGTTAGAAAGGTCTTCCAGAATGGTTGTCATGCCGCGGATTTTACCTGTCGAGAAGGTAGGAGTGGATATATTCCTGACATCTTTCCACTCTTGCCCCGTCAGATTTGACAGCATCTTCGACATAACGTTCCCTTGGACTGCGTTGAATGATTCCGGCTGTCTCAAGGAAAATGATTCAAAGTCCTTGACCAGAACATTCTTGATCATGTCTTTGTCACTGATTGCTAGTGCAGGGCCCATCCAGTCAATCATGCCCATACATCCTCCAGCCTTCTTGGTCTCTCTGTACAATTCAGCCGAGCTTTCATCGAACGACGTTTTGAAGAACTCGAATCCGGCGTTTCCCATGGGGAATCGATACGGCAGATTGGCGATACCCTTCCCCTTCCAGAAGTTCTTGTGGCGCGTCAGATAGCGGTATGTCAGCGTCAGGAGCAGCACCACGAGACCGATGGTCACCGGGCTGAACACCAGGGATGCCAGCCAGCCGAGCCAGCCGAGACACGCCGACAACATGGCTGACACACCGTGGTATGGTTACACAGAAGGCGAAGCACGTCTTTTCCGACACACGGTCCGTCTTAGCACAGACTACCGTCTCCGCCGAGCGCTGGCCGCCCACTGTTGTCACCGCCGCTACTCGGGGCGCTTACATACCGCCGCCGCTGGCGCGCTTCGTCATCGAGCCTATCGGCAAGGTCACTAGTCAGCGGCGTCCCGGGCCGCCTGTCCGCGTCGGCCTGAGAGCCCGCCGGTCCCGGTCCTATCAGCAACAGCCGGCTCTAACAGACGGTCACCTGCGATAAACCATCGGGGGCGGGTGCCGGGTGGGGAGGAGAGGGCTATTTTTAGAGATTACCCACTATATACCAACTTCGTACTTGGTTGCTTCTTGAACAGCGAAGTTAATTGATTGTGTACCTATGCATCTATGCAGTGTTATATCGCAGTAAAAACAGACGTTTATCTTCTCACATGCAATGGGGCTCGGGATTGATATCCTTTGCATGAGTATATGCAAAGTGCTAATATTTAACTATGCATAGGCTGGGTCTGCCATAACTAGCTGCTTATGTTCAAAGCACCTTGAGAATTCAGATCATTTGCAAATGACCTGACTGGGTTGAGGCTGGCTGCTTTTGGGAATACCTACGTCTGGTCATCTTCATACATGTGTTGAAACTTGAAACAATATCGAATGGGCGGCGTCCCGCTAATGTGTTCAAAACAATGAACATACATTCTGTAAAGAAAGATTTTTTGACCAAAAGCGTAAAAAATACTGAGGAAGTAATGCCTACGCCCCCCGCCTGACCCTGCATCTCTACAGTCGACATGAGGGTACAGGTCTGCTGGTCTGATGAGTCACGTCGTACTTCTACTGAAGTGTTCTAGGAGCCACCTCTGAAGGGGTGGGTAACGGAGGACAGGAGAGCGCTGTACCGGGTAAGGAGAGGTCGCGATAGGGCGGCGCAGCAGTACCAGGAAGGCCAGCAGATGTAGGGCGGACAAAGGATGAGGCATAAGCTGCCCCACCCCCTCCCCTTTCAGCAGGACGCGATCGACTAAATAACCCAGAGAGGGGCGGGCTAATCGCAAATATCTAATCAATAAATAACTAAATAAATGTATCTATCGGATCCTGCTGCGCAGTTCTGCGGCTCCTAAAATTGTAGTTTTGAGGCGTGGCGTCTTGCAGCTTCTGAGCTGTGCGATTTCAGGAGTCTAGGGCGTCCAGCAGACTTTGTCGAGTCTATTGTGTCCTGGGCGTCGTGAAGCTTTTCAGAGACTGAGGATGTCCCAAAATCCTGTGTGGACACTATTACCCTAAGTATAGAATCATCTGGAAACCTTAACCACACTAGGATGACTTCAGTATGATAGTATATGACTATGACTGTATACGTTATGATGCTATTGACTAGTTGATGACTTGAGGCGTCCTACAGGTCATAAGCCCTGAAGGATATTGAGACACCTATGATCGTCTAGAGAAATTTATGATCTAAGAAGAAAAAATATTGGTGTATGTGAGGATGCGCTATAGGTCAAATCGGAATGGCTATTTTTTGGTGCCAAGGATATCGGCGTGGTTGATCAGGTCCCAGCCCTATTGTGGTCTTCAGTACCGGGCGCCGAGAGCTCTGAAGGAGCACCCTGGGTTTGGATGGAGCGGTAGCGTTTATTGCTGCTGCACCCGATGCCCAGGTGAGGTGAGTTCGACAGCACACGCCGCCATTTGTAGGACATTGGTAGCCAGCTTATCATCTGTGGGGCCTTGGGAAATATTGAGAGGTTCCCCAAGAATATGCCTGCTAACCTTTGCACTGATAGGGGGTTAAACCCTTCCGGTTTTTTCGCGATTAACTCGCGCAAAAATCGGCCGATCGTGACGAAGCTTATAGTACCCTGAGCTGATCAATTTTACACCTACCCTGAAAAATTTCATGACCCTGAGCCAAATGGCGTTTGACCTGTGACCTGTTTCTCGATACCATGTTTGGCCGGAATCGCGATTCGGCGTGTGTCGGCTCACATTATGCGCGCGTTTCATTTCTTTTTGTGGTTTTAAACTTTCAACCATGTGAAATGATGTTGATCTCATCAATCTCATGCATTATAGGGGAGAGTGGGGAAAGATGCCCAGGGTTTGACTATGTCATATATTATTCGAAAATGATGATTGGAAAGCCAAAACTTGGAGTTTCAACGGAAGCCGACATCATTTTTCTCCAAAAATATCAGACTTTCGTGCCTAAAATATGATAACTTTTTTTGCTATTAAGCATTTTCCTGAAGAAGTGAAAGGGGGCATCTTACCCCACAGGGTGGAAAAGACGCCCCCTGGCGTTGGGTAAGATGCCCCCTGCACTAAAAGTGACATAAATAGGCACGTGAATCGCCTGAACGAATCAGTAGTCCCTTCGAGCCTGCAGTAGACACCAAACGTCATCGTAAGGGCCCTCAAAAGTAGTCGTAAGGGGCTTCAGAGGTCATCGTTAGGGCCATCGTAGTCCAGCGTGGCCAAACAAGCCTCCGTGGTGGCGTTTGGAGACCACTGTGGGGCCCTTATAGGTCTTCATGATGCTTGAGGGCTCTCGAGCCCATCGTGGGGACCTCGGATGCCAGCGCGGCCCGTGGAGCCAACGTGGGAGCCCTCAAAGGATGTCGTGAGGGGCCCTGGAACCAATAATGGGGCCCACAGAGGCCGTCGTGAGGGCTCTCAGAGTCAGATGCCGCCCAAAAAGTCGCTGTGTGGGCCGAGAGACCGGCATGGGGAGCACCCGACCGTACCGGACTCTCAATAGTCCCAGATCGGCTTTTGTCTCTCATCACAATTATGTAATAAATGATTTGACGGGTTGCTTGAAGGACAGCCTACGGATTTAGGGGGGCGTCTTTCCCCATCAGGACAGGGGGCATCTTACCCCAAGGTACCGAAGTAACATTAAATCAGCACAATTTGTTAGCCATAAAACTACAATCTGAAACAAACTGTTTGGGACACAGTACACGCATGTTAATGTATCACGACTATAGCAAGGGACGCAAAAATTATCTACCTTCTTTGATATTTACAATGTTTTGACGCCAAAATATTTTTTGAAAGCAGCAAATAAAAAACATGCAATCACCAGCCAGCCGTTGCCCAACTGAGCTTCGCAAATTTTTGAGCAGTTAACAAGGCAGGCTTCCGCTTTACGCTAAGAACATTAATTTCCAGGTTCGATTCTTTGTTTCCCCGCTAGAGGGGGTGGGGCGTCTTTCCCACCCTGGGCATCTTACCCCACTCTCCCCTAGTGGGTGTCAAGGTCACCTGAAGGTCAAATCAGGTTAATGATATTCAAAGACCGTGGTTCACTTTTCGAGTGCTACATTATTTTGAGATAGATTTTGGAGCTGATTTCGAATTTAGAAATCATTTGAACATTAACGACGTAGTGGTGCATTCGTAGCATGTTACGAAGCTGTCAGTGGTGGTTGATTGATACTATGGATAGCTGACAGGACGCCTACTGGTTGACCTGACCCGACCCGACAAGGCCTAAATGCATGAAGACATCATCTGTCGTCAAGTCTAACATGAAATTCGTGATCGAAACCCCAAAAAGCCCTATTACAACTTCACTTTGCAAAGTTCTAGCAGGTCCCGATTTTCTCGACTTTTGGGTCCTATACCTGACCTGGAAGGTCAAAAAATGAACTAGGACCTTAAACTTGGGTATCTCCGGCTTCCTCTCGTCGAGGGCAGCACGCTCGTTTTTCTCTACGAAGCATTAGCTCGATCAGGGGCCGAACGGCAAGGGGGTCCAATGGACGTCCCCCCCCCCCATATACGTTAGACGCTGTCAAAACACCACTATGGACTAGGGTTAAGTTTCACCCCTGACAATCGAACGTCTGCCGCACATCCGAGTCGCTGTCAGCCACACGTCTGGAGTCTGGGGGCTGTGGCTGATAGTTGTCTGTGGCCTGTATGGTCTCCCTCATTTCCTTTATATTATATTTCCTCAAACATTGCAACAGATTAATTAGATGGCGACATCACCTACAACAAGATAACCGGCATTCAGCATCATTGGTATCACTTAAGACCCATCATTTGTAGCCGCTAAAGTCATGTTTTTCTCGCGTAGGAGAAAGTATAACATATTTGTATGGCGTCAAGCTTCCACAACAATATCTAAAGAAAATCAGATTACCTAAAGAACTAACTTCGGGCGACCTAGCCACTGAAAGCATGCAGAACAGTGCAGCGCAGACCGATTAACGCCTGACAACTTTGAGCCAGGTTCCACCCTTTTCCTGGGTTTGCGTGAACCCGGGATCCAGGACCGGCTCCATCTCTCCGGACTTGGGACCCGTGACCAGCGAGTACTTCCTCAGCAGCGCCACCAGTGCCACCTTCGCCTGCAGCAGCGCGAACCGCATGCCGATGCAGTTGCGCGGTCCCTGACCGAACGGCAGGTAGGTGTACGAGTTCCGTGCCTCCTTGTTGTTAGACAGGAACCTCTCCGGATCGAAGGACTCCGGGTTCGGGTAGAGATCTGCGTCGTGCTGCATAGAGTACGGCATCATGTACACAATGCTGTTTGCTGGCAGAACTGCGTCCGTCCCAGGGATGGGGTAGTCGCGAGTCGAGCATCGAGTCAGTTGCATCAGGGGATACATCCTTAGGGTCTCCGTCAGGACGCACTCAAGGTACGGCATGCCGCTGTTGACTTTGTCGAAGGTGATGGAGTCCTTGTCGGACTTCAGCACCTCATCTATCTCAGCCTGGACGCGTTCCTGCACCTCTGGGTGAAAAGCGAGCTCACGCGCTGCCCACGTCAGAGCGTTTGATGTGGTGTCGTTCCCGGCGAAGAAGAACAGAAGACACTGAGCCGTGATTTCGTCGTCGGTGAGCTTGCGCGCCTGACTGTCGTCCCGACGTGAGTCGATGAGCAGCTGAAGGTAGTCGTTGCGGCGCCGTTCGGGGTGCTCCTCTCGCTCCTTGATAGTTCTCCTTGAGATGTCGACAAAGAACTCCAGGGCGTTGTTCCCAAATATATAAGAGGTGAAATCGAAGCGCTTCCTTATAAAGGATGGCAGGTAAGAAACGCTCATGAAGATCAGGATCTTGTACATGGGTGGAGGTTTTCTCAGCAGCACGCCTTTCTTCGCGATCGCTGACTCCGGATTGCGGATGGAGTCGGCTTCCAGACCAAACGCTACCGACGCTATTGTGTCCATGGTGTATCTCGCAAACACGTCCTTGACGTTGATCTCTCCATCCTTCTGGGACTCCTTGAACATTTGGTCTGCGAGGGTGTTTGAAAGCTCCTCCAAAAGGGTTGTCATGCTGCGGATTTTCCCAGTAGAAAAAGTAGGAGTGGATATATTTCGGACATCTTTCCATTCCTGACCCCTCATGTTGGTCATCATCTTCGAGAAGACACTCTCGCTGTTACTAAGAGAGGCTGGCTGCCTCACTGAAAATGTTTCAAAGTCCTTAACCATGACATTCTTGATCATTTCTTGATCGCTGATTGCCAGAGCAGGGCCCATCCAGTCGATCATGGCCAAACACCCTCCAGCCTTCTTTGATTCGTCATAGAGCCTTGCGTTTGTCTGATAAAACGGTGTTTTGTAGAAGTCGAATCCCGCGTTTCCCATGGGGAAACGATACGGCAGATTGGCGATACCCTTCCCCTTCCAGAAGTTCTTGTGGCGCGTCACATGACGGTATACCAGCGTCAGGAGCAGCACCACGAGACCGATGGTCACCGGGCTGAACACCAGGGATGCCAGCCACCCGAGCCAGCCGAGAACCGTCGACAACATGGCTGACACACCGTGATCAGGTCGCACGGCGGGCAGGGCGGTGAAGCCAAGTCTCCTCTCTCACAGACGTGGTGGCACGGTAGACGGGCAGGAGCGTGCACCACCGTCCCAGCCGGCCTCTGGTGGTCCACTGAGGCCAGTCGGTGCGATGCGCAGCGGGAGGCGGCAGCAATGAGTCACAGAGCCTATCGGCAAGGTCACCGCACCCCGCCCCCACCACCGGCTTCGAGGGAGATGGAGATGCAAAACCTGTGTACTCGCTGACGTGGTATATGTATAACTAAAGTGTAACAAAAATTGGTGCGAATGTTATTACCTGAATCCATATACCTACATATTATTTCTAGAATTTTTGACCATGAAAAAGCTGCTACACGTGTATTGGTATGAGGTCACATAAGGTAATGCTCAAGATTGCAATTCGCCTGCCATTCAAATTTTGTTTTCTTTAAAAAGATGTTGAATGCATGACTTCAGCAACGAAGTTTTAGCACTGAATGCTTACATACCTGCTCTATTTCTTCTTTATTTTGCATAATTATCACGACGTTTCACTGCCAATCAAAATTTACCACAATGTGTGTGCAAAGGTAATACTTGCTGTTGCTCGGCAGCTTTCATAGTGCGCCAAAAGCAGTGGATGGGGCTGCTGGGTGACGTCAGAGTATTGTCTGAAGCCCTGCGCAGGCTGTGGCCTATCGGTGGTCAGAGGTCAGTGACGTTCTTATTGGTGGTGGCGGTTGGTCATTTCGTCAACGATGCGGTGCCTGGGACCTGACTTTGGCTAGAAATATCAGCTGTGTGTGCTTAAACTTCGTTTGGCTATCGCATTCGCAACTAAACGGAAACTTCACTTATTGAAGAATAATAAGAAATCGGTGATGAATAGTCGCAGGTTTTGGGACTCCCATCAAGTTCGCACCCGAAAGAGCACACATTTACAACGCCCATTGCGAAAGAAGACATCAAGCTTTCTACCTTAAGGTATAGCGTGCGTAATATTGATATAATCCAGAATTGACAGTTATTCAAATATACCAATATCCGGTGCCGATATTACGGAAAACTTAATATGTTAACATTGCAGAAGTTGTAACATTTTATGACATGATCCAGCAGCGCCGACTCGTCGAACAGACGTATCGATAAGGTGGGCACATAGGGCACCTTGTTATCAAGAAACAGTGCAATCATTCCCTGACCACGGGAAGGTGTGGCGGGTGGCGACCTTGCTGATTAGCACGGCTGTATAAGAGCTCTCTCTCTCTCTCTTCGCTATGACCGTATCAAGTCACCATCGGCCGGCGGCGACGTTTGTGTGCTTTCCTGCGCTTCTACGCGGCATCGGTTAGAGAGGACGCATAGTTTTACCGGTCCTGTCTAAAACTCGTGCGACCTGATCACAGTGTCTGTCATCATGTTGTCGGCGTGTCTCGGCTGGCTCGGTGGCTGGCGTCCCTGGTGTTCAGCCCCCGGTGACAATCGGTCTCGTGGTGCTGCTCCTGACGCTGATCTACCCTATCTGACGCGCCACAAGAACTTCTGGAAGGGGAAGGGTATCGCCAACAAAGCCGTACGCTTCCCCATGGGAAATGTCGGATTCGAGTTCTTTAAACACCTTTCTATGAGGGCTCGTGCAAACTATATGAAGAGGCGAAAAGGCAGGAGGATGCTTGGGTTATCATCGACTGGGGGCCTGGAATAGTGGTGAGTGCTCCAGAGCTGATCAAAAATTTCTGGTCAAGGACTTTGAAAACGGTCCCGTTCCGGCGTCCAGACTTTTCAGTTCTGTTCGGGCAGCGTTTTTCGAAATGATCAAGCCTCAGGACAGGAATGGAAAGATGTGAGAAGCATCCACTCCATCCTTTTCTAC